GAGTGTTATTTCAAACAAGTCTTTAAAGCTCATGCCAAAAGGAAGACACCAGGTGGAGATCACTAAAGGGCCTCTTCAAGACGCGGTGGTCCCAAAGGTGTGCGGATGTGTTCTGGGCTCAGGAAGACACTTCTGTGGATGGTGCTATACCTGGATTCAAAATCTGAAAAGCTTAGATGCTATGTTGGAGATAGTTGTCCATAATTTCAATAAAATGTGAGAGTGGAAAGAGTTGTTGCCAAACAAATGTGCTTTCCACCCTATGTGAGTTTTTATTTTATTTTATTTTTCATGTTATTTATTTGAGAGAGAGTTTGTGCGTGTGTGAGCAAGGGAGGGGCAGAGAGAGAGGGAGACAGAGGATCCTAAGCAGGCTCCGAGCTGACAGCAGAGAGCCCTATTCAGGGCTTGAACTCACAAACCGTGAAACAATGACCCGAGCCAAAGTTGGACGCTTAACCAACTGAGCCACCCAGGTGCCCTATGTGAGTTTTTAAAATTAAACCTATTTTGAGATAATTATAGATTTAAATGCAGTTGTAGGATATAATAAAGAGATTCCTTGTACCCTTTGCCCAGTTTCTCCAAAGATAACATCTTCAAAACACAACTGTATGATATCACAACCCTGATACCAAGATTGATGAATCACAATCTTAGATTTCTCCAGTTCTGCTTACACTCATATGTGTGTACTTAGCTTCACGTGCTTGTTTCACACATATTGGTTCCTGTATCCACTGCCACAGCCAAGGTAGAGATTTCCATCACCAGGAGGACCCTGTCTCCCACTTGCCCCCTCATGCCTAAAACCACTAATCTTCTCTCCACTTCTAAAATGTTATCTTTTCAAAAATGTTAACAAATGGAATTGTGAAAATTAATAAAGGGAAAGTTCACTAAAATGGAATAGGGAGTTTCCACAAGTGAAGCTCTTAATTGCAGAATCAACAGGAATCAACCTTCTAGGTTAGTGCTAGATTGCCACTGCTTTATTATTCCACCAGGAGGAAGGTTTCCTTCTCCCCAGCAACAGCCCAGCCAATGAGAGATTGCCACAGCCCAGCCAATGAGAAGCCACTACACTTCCAGCTCCTAGCTGGACTTTCTGCCCTCCTGACTCTCTCTTTCCTCTCCGAAAGAGCCTCCTCTGCTTTGTTCTCCAAACTAGCCTATGGTTTTTCAGTAGGTTGCTTGCCCTGGACTACAATTCTCTGCTGTTTCCAAATAAACACATTTTTGCTGGTAAAATAAGTGGCGGTTTTATTTTTAAAGTTAATAGATCATAAAGGATATAACCTTCTGAGTTTGGATTCTGCGCCCCTCTCCCCAGTGTAATTGCCCCGAGATTCACCCAGACTGCTTCCTGTATGACAGTCCATTCCCAGTGAGCCCACTCCACGGTCTGGATGCATTGCAGTTGGCTCAAACATTTCCTCACTAAAAGCCATCTGAGTCATTTCCAGTTTTTGGGTATCACAAATAAGGCTGTTGTGAACATTTGGGTACAGATTTTTGTGGAAAATAAGTTTTTATTTTCCTGGGATAAACTCTGAGAGTACAGCTGCTAGGTCATAAGATAACTGCTTATTGGTTTTATAAGACACTGCCAACCTGTTTTCCACAGTGGCTGTACCGTTTACATTCTTATCAGCAATGGATGAGTAACCGAGTTACCCACAACCTCACCAGCATTTGATGTCATTGTTTTTTATTTTAGCCATTCGGAGAAGTGTGTAGTGGTATCTCATCGTGGTTTTAAGAATTTTTTTAATATTTATTTTTTTTTTTGAGAGAGAGAGAGAGAGAGAGAGAGCGTACCCCCCCCCCCCACGAGTGGGAGAAGGGCAGAGAGAGAGGGAGACACAGAATCTGAGGCAGGCTCCAGGCTCTGAGCGGTCAGCACAGAACCTGACTTCGGGGCTCAAACTCATGAACCACGAGATCATGACCTGGGCCGAAAGTCGGACGCTTAACCGATTGAGCCACCCAGCCGTCCCCATTGTGTTTTTTTAATTGTGGTTTTAATTTGCATTTTCCTAATGACTAATGATGTTAGCCATTCATAATTATTTGGCATTTGTATTTCCTCTTCAGTGAAATGTCTCTTCATGTCTTTTGCTAATTGAACTTTCACTTTGCTTTTTTACTGTTGGGTTTTGAGGGTTCTTTATATAGTCTAGATACCAGTCCTTTGTTGGATATGTGGTTTACAAATATTTTCTCCCACTCTATGTCTAAAAAACGCTTTGTTTGATTGTTTATTTATTTACTTTTCAGAGAGAGAGAGAGAGAGAGCATGTGAGAGCAAATGTGTGTGCTTGTGTGCAGGGGAGGGGCAGAGAGAAAGGGAGAGAAAGAGAATCCTAAGCAGGCTCTGCTCTTCCAGGAGCTGGAACTCATGAACTCAGGAGATCATGACCTGAGCCAAAATCAAGAAGATTCCAACGCTTACCCAACTGAATCACCCAGTCGCCCCTACAAAACTCTTTTGATAGGAATTGTATTAATCTTACGGATCAATCTGGGGAGAACTGACATTTTTACTATGTTGAGACTTCTGATCCATGAACATGGTACATCTCTCCCTTTTTTATAGGTCTTCACTGATTTCTTTCATTTGTGTTGCATAATTTTTAGCATACAAGTTCTGTGTACAGTTTGCTAAATTTATACCTTTTGACCTTACAAATATAAGTCAATTATTTTACCAGCAAAAAAATGAGTTTACTCGAGAATAGCAAAGAATTGCAATTTGGGACAAGCAAGCTACGGCCAAAATCACAGGCTAGTCGAACAAACAAAGGAGAGGAATGTTATTTTAAAGAGAAGGAGGAAGTTGGGAGGGGTTGTTTTGAATTAAAGTCCACTGGAAAAAGACAAGAGTGTACAGTCATGACAGTTCCTCACTGGCTGAGTTGCAGGGGTGGTTAATTCCTTGTAGGAGATGCATCATGCGTATCTTTTCCTGTTGGGGCCTGTAACTGATGATTCTTTCCTGTTGACAATTCTTCTGTTAGGGTCTGTACTGGCAATTTCTGATATTGAATGGTACTGCATGAGAGCTCCCCCTTCTGGACTCCTGACTCCATTAAATTTTTTTTTT